CAAATACCGAAAATGCATCCTTCAAAACATTTGGCTAGTGTTAAGCTTAAGATAGTCTATGCAACATACGACATATTACAATTAAAATTTACTAGTTGAAGTAAAGAATTTCATAGTTAATTTAAATTAGTACGAACTGTTATAGGCTTCGTAAAGTTCAATTGATAAGAATTCTAAACCCTAGAGAGAAGACATTCTTTCAATTCGCAGTCAGTTACATTAATGGAAAACCCTGGAAATATACAGTCTTTTCAACCTTATATGGTTTGCTCGCGACAAGGTTTGGTTTGGTTTATTTGATTGTGGCAAAGCACTCGAGGGCTATCGGTCTAATAGCGATGCTTTCGTGAAGGACAGTTTAAGTGAAACTGACTCGTATACACTTTACACATGGGAAAAACCACGAAACCGCTCGTGCAGACAGCCAATTGGCCGGATTCGAGCCTCTGATCGAACTACCAGGGTTCCGAGACTTTACATCTCGGCCGCTGGTGGGTTTGGCCGCGACACATTCGCTTTAACAGAAAAAAATGATGATGGGTGCAGTTGATTACGTCACATTTCCAACGACTAGTCAAAGACAACTGAACTGAAATTTATTGGCTAAATAGAATTAACCGAAGTTGGTTATTCTCTCTTCGTAGCTAAGTAGGTAGCACCTTTCTTGCATTACAAAATTTGTCATATTTGTGGTTTTGATCCTGAGACCTTTTTTCCGGTCTGTACATGTTTCTCGAGCATTTCTGTCTGATAAAGGAATAACAAAAGGAGTACTCCTTTCTAAAGCATAATACAAGATTCCTATAAGAAAAAATATTAGTTTGATGCGAACCCTCTATTCCTAAATTTAATTAATAAAGTCGCGTTTATTAACCGTAGTATAAAGAAAAACTTTAAAATTACTGAATTTTAAAACACATTTTATTTGATAATTTCAGTGTATTTATTTACGAATTTCGATTAATTATTCCACAGCAGGGCACATTTACTTTCCAAATTTCATTCCGAATTTCCATGGAGATAATTTCCTTTATATTCTGCATTCCTCTATCTATATATTTAAAAATATATAATTTAAATATTTAATATATATATATATAAGAAAATAAAGAATATGTAAAAGATTAAATGAGCAACGCAAATTTCCCTTCTCATTTCTAAAAATAGTAACCTCTCTCTCTGCAATGCGTCATTTCTAGATTAATCCATGTCATATGATTCTTACATTATACTGGTGATGTAAACGGAACTTAACCAGCCAATAGTGATTTTACAGTAATATTAACTATCCAATTAAAATGCATTGAGAACCAAAACTAACTCAGTCTGAATTAAGATTTCACTCTGAACGTAACGCACTTGCTTTCTACGCTTTGGACTGTAGTCTGTCTGCTCCTTCTATCTCACTGCAAATTTATCTAAAATGTAAACTTTTTGCAATAGGCACGTTTAAAATGCCAAACTTGTTTGGGGCCGTAACATGTTTGCTGAAATAAAAAATGAAGATTTAATCTGCCTTCGCCTCCAATTTCCTATTCATTATGGATCAACACTTCTGGGCCAAGTTCCTGCTGGTCTTCACTTCTGAGTTTGTTTTTATCATATATATATATAACAATACAAATTTTAAGCTCCTTCTAAATTTATTACAAGTTTTATCACAGAAATCTTAATAATTGACACTTCCTGAGTTCAATTTGTATTTTCAATACACCTATTTTCTTGGGAGATGATCATATATAGAGAAAATTCTGGATACATTTGAAATTCGATTCTTCGGTTTTAAATGAATTTTAATATCTTAAATGAAGATTTAATTGAAATGTTTTTTGGTTTTTAATCTCAAATGAACAAAAGAACGAAACATGTACTCGAAACATATTAACTTTTATGAAACTTTAATTCGTTTTTCCATGGTGAGTTCTGAATTAGAGTTTCAGTAAAAGGAGATTAATTTTTATATTTTTATAATTTTGTATATTTTCCTTTTCACATTTTTATTTTTTGAGTTTATTCTGCTGATTAATTCTTATTTTAATTTTGATACGTTCAGATACAGTGTTAAACCTCTTATCCACGGTTGCAATTATTAATATTGTTGAGGAATTGCCTTGCTTTGATTCGAATTTAATTTTAACTTTAGAGCTTTAATTCAATCCTGCAGCTATAGCGCAGGACTGGTTAAAATTTTTTTAATTTCGATTAAAAACACACATTAATTGACTTTTCTGAAACTTTGATTCTTTTCCTCTGATGAGTTCTGAATTGGGGTCTCAGACAAAAAAGATTATTTTAATTTTGTTTTTATTACTATTACTAATTTGCTTTTTTTACTTTTTGGGCTTATTCTAATGATGAATTCTTATTTAATTTTGATTATGTTTAGCTACAATGTTAGACCTTTTCCCACGGTTGAAATTATTAATATTATTAGGATATTGCCATGTTTTGATTCCAAATTAATTTTAATTTTAATTGCTTTGAGTTAAGTTTGCTTCAATCCTGCAGCTATAGCGCAGACTGGTTTAATTTTTTATTTTGTTTTTCTGCATGTATGCACATACAACAGTATTTGTCATTCGTATTAAACTGGAGATTGCAAAATGAGGTAAAATGAAATATGGTGCAAGCCTTCGTGGTCAAAGCCTACACCAGAAGTACAATCTTTGAAGTATTTACACATGTTAAATTTAAAACATCCTTTTATAAAACCCATATATTATAATATGCTTTCATAAAGGCTAGTCCTTAAGACAATTAACTATAGTGTATTAGTGTTATGATACTAAGAGAAACAGATATATCTTCCTCTAGTAAAAGCTGATTACTTTTTGATTTTATTTTTATTGATTGATTGATTGATTGATTATTTTTCATTAGAACATTTTCATTATATTTCATTCAAACGATTTTCAAAACTCTGATAGATCATAAAATGAGATTCGTACGACTTAACATTTATATTGAAAACTGGGGAAAAAGGATCCGTACTTATTTCTCCACAAAGCGGGCGAAAATTTTACAGAACTTTTACAGAGTTTTACAGAAATTTTCTCTTGGATTAGTATTTAGCGGGTACATAGATATCAGCATAGGACCAGCATGAAGATGTGAACCAAAGGAATACTTAGCTAACTCTTAGATGGCCCGAGATCTGATTAAAAGTAAGCATGACATTCTCATATTTGTTACTTTTATGCATCCATTAAGATTAAATAAATTGTCAAAAAAGACTTTTTGCCAAGGTCCAAGCTTTGGCAGACTTCTAAGTGAAACAACAAATCAAATAATTACATTTCTTAGATTATTTTTTTAGTCAGGGCTAAAAATAGAAGAAAGATTCTGTATCTTCATAAATCATTTTTTAAGAATTAAAAAGTATTCCAAACTTAAGGGAAAATTTGAATTCATGATTGCTGAAATAGCTTTCATGAAACTATAATGTCCATGTCTAAAAATGAAATAGAAAATAGTTATTTGGATACTGTATCTTATGTACCATTTCGTTATATTTACTATAGCAGACATTTTAATGACAAGATCAAAGGTATGATATACAATATTAAGTAAATAGAGTTAATTTTTTAGAGAGCAAATAGATATAATTAGCTCACCTCTCTAAGAGGAAATTCTGATTTATACTTTTTATTTTGGACTATAAAAGGTATAACTCAATAAGGTATAATTATATTAAATGGAATGCTTAAAAATCTCATAACTTATTTCGATTTATTTTTCAATTTGGTTTCGGCTAAAATTCTTAAATGTTCTTCCTTATTACATGAATATGTTAAAATGATTGGAATGTCTTAACTGTAATAGCCCAGAAGAGCTATTCATTTCGTTTCGGTATTTTGCGTCGATTCACTATAAACGACGAATCACTTTTTAAATTGTTGCCACCAAATATTATCGCGTTGTATTATATTTAAAGAAATTAAATAATGAAAAATCTGCATGAATGTATGTATGTATTTTGCACTGTGATAAGAACGAAGAGCACCTAGAGGCATCCAAATTTGAATAACGTAGTCCTGCTTTCTAAATATGCGCATCTGGAAGCCCGAATTTGGAATCTGGAATTTGTTTTATTATCTATTGCATATTTCATGTAAACATTAAAGAATTTTTGATTAAGAAACCCAGTGATTTCAAAGCGAGTACTGGCAACACTGTACCCCCCCCCAAAAGTATTATCTCCCTCGCACGAGACTGTGTATCGGAAATTCTAAAGACATACTCTTTTAAATATTTTGCGATAGTGCTGTTGAATCGAATTTTGGGGTTTAAATGCGAAGAACATGATATTTAATGAATAAAAATAAAACACAAAACGTTAAAAAACGCCTCTTTGAGCGTAATATAAAATCTGAAAGCTTTCAGCTTTTTTATGTAATTATTAATGCAATTATGAATAACGTATTCCAAAATGAAAGCAATAATATATTCCAAATAAAGTAATATATCTTAAATAAATGACAGAATAGGAAATGTTATTCCTAAGCCGATGACTCTAATGTCTGCAAACAGGGTCCATCGCAAAACAAAAAATATATCTGTCAGTGCGACAGAAACTAAGAATTGAATTTTGAAAACTGATGGAGAAAGAAAATTTTTAATAAAATATATATAAACAGATTATTAATATGTAAGGACAAAATAATTAATTTTTCGGGACACATCGAGCATCACAATAGCGCAGTGAGGTAATAGAGCTATTATAAAATGCAACTTATCAAGAGGCGCATTCAAAATGAGAACCTGTGAATAAGCGCATTGCGCCGTCAGAAACGTGCGCCGATTTCTCCCCAATAAACTTCGTTCCGCCGTCTTTGTTTTCCTCGACATCCCATTGCCATTTTATTCCTTGTTAAATAACAAACCGGACGATAATCGGTTTGATTCCGGAAACAAGCATTGTTGTTTAACTCCGCTGGAGGGCGCTGTATTACAGTGAGCCCCCCCGTCCACATCGAGCTGCGTGGCTCACGGTTGGTCGGCGGCGGGTTTCGGAAAGTCCAGTAACTGGTCTTCCTGCGAGTGACGTAATAGAAGGGGGGCAGGGTAATCATACAAACTGCCCTAAAGTGAGCTTGGATACTGTAACAAGCTATACATCATGACCAACCCTATTTTGCTGCATGCTTTGATTTCGGACTACTCGTGCAAATCCATATCGCGGCAGTGAAGCTGTACTTGAGTGCTCCCATGTTTTGATCTTTCTCTGCATGGATCATCTGTGGACTACTGTTTATTCAGCAAAGCCAGGAAATTTGTCTTCAAATTCAAAACAACTCTTTTATTGAGAATACGTACCGAAGAAAAAATAAACTTGGAAAGAAGTGTTGCGCCATTATAAAAATTAACAAAAAGTTGGTGCTAATTTCGAACTGAAGTTAATGGATATTTGGATACCGTGTTCAACCAATTGAAAAATTTCAATCTTAAATTCAATTTTCTAAAATTGAATGTTAGCAGAATCTTTTTAAACATTGGTTTTATTTATTTATATATTTGACTACTTAGAATTTATTTTCATGAAAAATATCCGAAGGATTGCAATTCTGAGAGGAATCTCAAAAGAACGTTAGTATTTTGTAAAGGCAATTTTGGAGGAAAAGGTACAATCGATAAATTAAACAAAATAGAACTCCAGCGAATTTCTGAAACTTGTTTCAATTTAAAGGACAACAAAGCTGAATGCTATTCAAAAGCACTCACGTGTAAAAATATTTACAGGAAATTCTTTTCGTGGAAACATAGTATTCAAATATTTCATGGAGAAAACAGCTTGTTATACGAAAAAGAAAATATTTGTTGCTGAAAATTCGATTTCTTTTTAAAGCATGATTTATTTGAAAGCTTTAACATAATTAACTTTAACGGAACTTTGATCATTTAACACGGCAAGCAAATATAATTTGAATTTGGAAGCAAGTTACTTTGTTCGAATACTACTCTGAATTAGGTTAACTTAAGGCAGTTGATTGAGAAAAGGAGAAGAAAAGAAAAACATTGTAATTGGCATCGATTTAATGAAAACCTAATTAACGGACATGACAGTGACCATGTCTGCAGACAAAAATACTACTTCAGGCGAAGAACCCACAGAGTTGGCAGAGCAGCCGACTGACTTGAGAACAAGGAAAAAAGAGGATATCGATGAAGATGAAGTCGATGATATCGATGTTACAAGCACAGATGTCCATCCAGCTCCATCTTTTTTAATTCGCAATCTTATTGATAATAGCACCAACAAAGATGAGAACAATACTCCATCCTACAGGGCATTCCATCCTCTCCTGCATCCACCTCTACATGCATTTCATCCTCATCATCCTCTTCATCCTTTGCATCGGCTAGAGGACATTCATCACCCATCTCTGCATCACGGTCTCATCCCCAAAAACCATCTTTACCCCCACCATTCAGAGACTGGAAGTGATTTGGATGAATCTGATAAAGCATCTCGGATGTCCCCCGGAGGGGAAAGGGACAATTCCATCGCGTCTGGTGACGAAGAAAGATCCAGGTTCAAAGAAGATGAAGACGACGACGAGGACCATGACGATGTCACCTCATCCAAAGATAGTCAACATGCTGCTGATTCTGACGCAGAAAATAATTCCGTTCAACACACAGGTAAGCTATCTTTTGATTAAATTTCTTGTTTAGAATTAAGAGCTTAAAAACTTCCCAGTATGAGTTTGAATTAATAATTATTTTTAATCAGAGATGTGTTAAGAAGTTCTAAAGACTAATTCAAATCCAGTTAGTTACTTTCCCTAATCATACATCAATACAATGGGAATCATTATTAAGAAATGTAAGTAATTCTGAAATAATATTGTTTTAATAGTTCAGTTACGAATAGGAATATTTTGTCTAATTAGATTCTAATTCTTCGAGTATAGATAGATGAATATTTAAGATAAGAGGGTTTTATATCTGCTTATAAATGTTACCTTTATAGAGAACAGGGGAATCTAACATAGAATAAATGAGCTAAACAAATTTATTAAGTCCATAATGAAAAAGACGAAAAACCTGTTTCCACATCCGAAGCCAAACACTGGGGAAACTACCTACACGCAAAGCTTCTTGCCATTATGAAATAGAGTCTGAGAATGTATTTTCAACAAATGACTGAATTGTATGTATTTAAAATCGTATTTATGGGTTAAAAGTTTATTTTATAAGATAACTCTGGTAAATTCTGTTTCAATTCTGTAAAACAATCTTAAAGATATGTAAAATTTAAGGAAATTCCTAATAATTTTTCCAGTGTCAATTAAAGGGCACCAATTTTCGTTGCATTCCTATCTAAAATGCTAATTTTTCTTCTTTTTTTTTTTTTTTAAGATATGCCAAATGCAATACTGAATATTATTGTTGACGAAATCCTAATTATCAAGTGTTGTTCTTTTAAATTAACTACTCAAATCATTAATTCAGAAGTCAAACAACAAATTTTGTAAATTAACGCTGATTTTTGTTGTTTGACTTCTGAATTAGTATTTATTCGGCGTGTTATTGTGTCTTAATTACTCAAATCATGTTAAAAATATGCCTTATCCACTCATTTTTTATCAGTATATTATTATTCAGCATTATAACTGAAAACGTTATCGATGTATCGATAAATAGGGGCTTGCCACAAATACATGCGTTTATAATATATGTAATAAAAGTATAAATGTGTCTGCTGCGATAATATACGTTTGGGATAAATATTGAAATCGCAAATCATTGTAAATGGTGCTTAAAGCACACAGGAATTTTCTTTGTTCTTTCACAGATAATATTCCTGAGATTTCATATTTTGGATATTTATCTTTGAAATATCTTTTGCATTACATTACACTGCACTGTATTCTACATTCCAAATCAAATTTAGCAGCAGTTTCAAAGAATTTGAAAAAGCTGTTTAATCTTAATATTTAAATTATCCATATATTACTCGCATTATATTCTTATGCATGTATGTATAAGAATATGAATATCTTATGATAAATAAGCGACTTCACATGTATAACTGAACATGCATTAAATTATACTTAATACATTATCAAACTAGGTTTGATATTTTATTATTTACTCGTTTATTCCATTACTTACTCGTATATCAGAAAGCATAAAAAACAGTATTATGTACTAGTTTGGATAAAAAACAGAAGAGTATAGTAAAACGTAATTATATAATTATGTCTTCATTCCGTTTGATTTGAAAATACTGTTTGTATTTATATTCAAAAAGTTAAATTTGCATTTAATTAATTAGAGAAATATTGATTCAGATTTTTTTTTTATTTCAAAAACTGGCATCTTCTAATTTAGGAAATAGCGGCGGATGTTTTATTTATGTGATACAGTACACATCTTTCATACACTAGACTTATAAATTTAGTTAAAACTAACTTCTTCTACCCAGCAGTGGACATAACATTATTTCATGAGTGAAAGATAATGAAGTAAAATAAAAAGTTAAAGTAATTCCTTCCACTGAATGGAGCACTGTAATACACTAAATGAGAATTTCAAGTTTTGGAATTAAATAATGATCATACAGATTCTTTTCCTCCTTCTTTTAAATTAAGAACTCAATTTCAGAAATTTCGCTTCGAACAGGAACCGAACCAAAGTATCCGTAGTCGCAGATGAGTGCTATGTCTGCTAAACTAATACAAGCAATTCGCTGATCCTCCTTCGTTTTAATTTACTCTAGGGTTGTTGTTACAAATTTACTTGTTTTAACTTTTACTGTAATTTTCAGCTTACTCTATGGTTGTTGTTACAACTTTACTTGTTTTAATTTTTACTGTAATTTTCAATTTACTCTATGGTTGTTGTTACAGATTTACTTGTTTTAACTTTTACTGTAATTTTCAATTTACTCTAGGGTAGTTGTTACAACTTAACTTGTTTTAATTTTTACTGTAATTTTCAATTTACTCTATGGTTGTTGTTACAACTTTACTTGTTTTAACTTTTACTGTAATTTTCAATTTACTCTAGAGTTGTTGTTACAACTTGTTTTAACTTTTACTATAATTTTCAATTTACCCTAGGGTTGCTGTTACAACTTTACTTGTTTTAACTTTTACTGTATAAAAAAAATGCTTATGTCAAGGAGTAGGGAGGATATAAAGCAAAATTTCAAATGGTCACAGAACTTAATTATTTTTAAATGAAATTTCCGCTTTTTAGCAAAAACGTTTCCAGCTCAGAGCACTCTAAAATTTTGGACTTAAATCTTTAAATTTTGGTCAAAGCAAAGTGTAGGATTCTCCACTGTGTAATTCTCAGTTGGATTTGAAGAATCTTAAGAACTATTAAGCGAATAATTGCTTGAGTTCATGAGACAGTAAATAAACTTGGAAAGGGTTAAAAGATTCTTCATTCAAATAAGATTTAACGGAACTTAGAGTTGTACAATAAAGCCGACACTCGGGCTTCAACTTAAGAGACTAAGAATTAAACTAAACTAATCTTAACTAAAGAGATATAGCCGAAGCTATCAAAATTCTAACAGAGATGGCCTCTTAACACTAATTGACTGCGCAGCTATCAAGGGCCTAAAATACGGCCGAGCGTAATAATAACTTACGAGAGAGTAGCCTAAAAAGGCGGACGTAGGCTAGCCAGAATATCTGGTATCTCCCTCACTAAGACAGTGAACTTCGCGGTTAAATAACGCTCTTCCTCATTAGCACTCAGACGTGATTCTAAAACTGCGTTCTGGCCGGAAATGGTAAGTTGAAATTAAGAAGCAATAGGAAAGGAAGTTTAACTCAAAATTTAACTGTTAATAAAATTAACATAATCCTTACAAGAGAGAGAATCATTTTCTTGAAACTGGTAAAGAACTTGCATGATATTTTGGCACACGCAAACTTGTTCAGTTTATTTCAATCCTAGGATAATAGATTCACATTTGAGATTTAATCACAGCCATAATAGGCCATAATCATTTTGTAACAACAAACATTAAGTCGAGCAGACTTCTCAATGCATGACTTAAAACTGGTTACTACCTATCTTTTTACACTAAAAATGTCATTGTTATATTGACTCACTGCAAAAATTGTTTAAAATTGAATATTATTATTATTTAAACCAGAAACATACGTGTTACCAAAACACTTATCGGTCGTTTAATAAAAAACATCGATTCATCGAATCAACAGGAAAAAACCAATAAATAAATAAAATTTATACAATACGTATTGATATTAACGTTATATTATTTTAAAAATATCTAATAATTCTATATCTCTTAAGTAGGAAAAAATTTTCAAATTGTGAAGTGTAAGACAGAATTATGTAATGAAAGGTTTCTATAAATAACTTCTGTAATGATGGTCACAAGGAAAGAAAACCAGATGTTGAGAAATCTGTTTCTCTCCGCCGTTTGAGATAAATATCAAACTTTCATGACATCAGAAGCAGAAATCTTTATAAAGACAAATATTTCTGTTAGCATTTTTACAGCCCGTCTATTAAAAGACTGGGAAGTATAGAAAGTGTAAATATTATGTTCTGTCATTATTACAGATATTTTCTTACTTCATATGGTAGGAACTAAGTAAAAAACTTTTTCTATGAAATATCACTGCGCTTTGTTACGAAAAATTAACTTTTCAAAAAAGAAATAGGTATTTTTGTTATCGAAGCGATCTTTAAATTTGGTTCGATATGCAAACCCACGCATCTAATGAGATATATCTTCTGCCTTCTCTAAATTCAGTGCGTGAGACATGATTGAAATCACTTAATCACTGTCGCAGAGGATAAAACTACAAAACATTAGCAAGTATCAGTAAGCATTAGTATTTTCCAGCTTCTACATCTAATTTCTTCTTCTTCTCCCCGCCTCGTGCGGGATATTTTGCTTTTGATAATTACTTCCTGTTATTCGAAGTGGTTAAATGCCGTCATTGTCCTCTTGTCTTGCCTAACTATTATGTACGTTTAAATTTTGTTTTCTCTTTAAGTCAAAATTTAAACGCACAATTAAATAAATAAATAAAAGCTACCTATCAGGCAAATAAAAGTTAGAAGGCATTTTCTCTCTCTTTTCTGCATGCCTTCGTGGTGTAACGGTAAAGATGGTGGATGATGATGACCAGGATTTGGCGACTGGGTCCCCTAATCCTCAGCTGTTCTTTAAAAGAGGGAATGCTCTTCCTCCTTTCTGCATACCTTCGTGGTGTAACGGTTAGCATACTCGGCGTGTATTCGAGAGGTCCAGGTTCGAATCCTGGCGAGAGCATTGCTCACTTTTCTAGTCTCTCGCATTGTCTCTACAGTATGTTAATCAAATACATTAGAAATCAACAACAAAAACTCGATTTTTTTTAATCATTGATAGTTTTTATAAATTATCTATAAATTTTATCGGTTGTTAGAATTTAACATCAATAAAAAGAATATTATTGAATTAATTAAGTAAAAAAGACTTTTGTTGTTAATAGCAAAGCCTGCTTTTTAATAATCACTGCAATTTATTACATCTGCTAATATCGATATTTGAAAAATAACTTTTCAAACAGGAAATTAATTTACAGTGGTTTTGAGTTTTACGGTGTCCAGAAGAAGGTAACATGTTGTTCGGCACTCAGTAACTGTTCCTGTTTAGTGGT